AAACTTATAATTGCGAAAGGGGTCCGCAATTATAATTGCCCCCGACCAGCGGAGACGGATCTAATTATTCAAACACTCGCGTTCGCGCGACGTGGCGCGAGCTCCGCGAAAATTGGGCGTACGCGTAGATTGGATCCGAGAAATTAGTTTCATTTTTCGCCCCATCTTTTCGAAATAGATCCCGAATCGATATACATAAAGCGTCGCGAGGAAAAAAGTTTTCGCGTTAAACGCGCGTCCTCGTTGCTCGATTTACGAGTTCGAGCGAGGGTCGGTGGCAGGAGAAACCAACGGGCACTGGCAAACGCGAGTCGTCCGAGAGGTAAGGAGCGAGAGAAGTCGTGCAAGGAGGGAGCCAAGACTCCGGTCAATTAAGCGCAGGAAATTAGAGTTTTAATTACGCAGTCATTCAGAAAATTACATCGGGGACCATGAAGAAGGCATCCGCAATCACCAACGAGCGGCGACGAGGGCACGCCGTGCCCTTTCCTTCCGACAGACCGTCCGACCGTTTGAAAAGAGTAAATACAAATCGATCGAAACGCGATTCCTCTATTGTCCAGCGATCGTCGTTCGCTCGAGACGAGTCCCCGTCTTTACGTATTGTAAGGCGAATTATTTTCCCCGTATAACCTCAGGATAAAACGCGTTTCTTTTCTCTTTCTCCCCTTCTTCTCTGTTTTGCAAACCGCCATAGCGTTTACCTTTTTCGGAAAATTCCGGCGGTCCAGATTGAGCGAACCGATAGAGACGAGTGAAATAGCGAAACGGGTCCGGCGTATCGCGCGGCAAGGGCTTTTTCGAACGAATAAATTACGCCGTGCGCGCGAACCGAGTCGTTCTCCTTAACTGCTGCATTTAAATTTTAGCAAACGAGCAATTCAGCCTTTAATTGCTTCGCATCCATACCCGATGTCCGTAACTGCTCTCTCGCGCGAACCGGTAACTCGTAGCCATTTCCGCGAAGACCGTTTCCTATGAAATTCGTCGCACGCGTATGCGTTCCGATCCGTCGTCGTTTTATCCGTCACGCGTGCCAATTCAGGATTCGTCGAGTACCAGCAACGCGAACCGAGTTATCCGATCGCACGGTTGCGCGATCGTCGATTTTCCATCGCGGTTTCCTCCTCGATTCGATCGTTGAAACCAGGTTCGCGCGGTCGACGCTTGGACTTGGCGGTGTCGTGTTCAGCGTCGGTTGGCGCGAATCTACGACCGAAACGAATCGACGCGAAGCGGGAAACGTTAACAGGAGGCATCCCGTGGAAAAGAACACCCGGAATAGGACGCCGCGGATGTGGGTCACAGGGAAAGTCAAAGGTAGCGCGTTAAATTCAATTACAAGTGGCTGTGATGGCCGTTTGAACGGATATAGCTGCGGATTGGCCGAAGCTTGTCGGAATCACTTCGATTCGCAGTCGATAATGGTATATCCTGGGAAACGCGACCGATATTCGGTTTAAATTGGTATCGATGGTACCCTTTAGGACGACTTCGTGACACGTCCACGTTCGACCTGTCCTCCCGGATCGCTTGATACCCGGATTGCACTCCGACCGACCATTCGTCGGAACCGTCAGAAAAAGAGGAAGAGAGAGAGAGAGAGAGAGAGAGAGAGAGAGAGAGAGAGAGAGAGAGAGAACGCCGGATAGAGATCGATTCCACGAGTTAGGTATTAATAGCGATGTATGTTAAATGGAACAGGAGATTGGTCGTTCGTCGTCGGAACCGAATTATTGTCACTGTCTATTTTCGCGAGACGACGTTCCTTATTCATGAGGTTTCCTTGGAGCGGTCGTAATACACTTCATGATTTACTTATAGGTTGGAAGGAAGGCTTCCAAAATGTCTACGAAGTATTATTAAGCATTCGCGATTAATTTATTAAAACCAGGATCGAGTCCCAGAATTACTCTTGCTCGACGTAAATGTTCGGTTGAAAAGTAGCAAGGCCGTGGGCGGATTGAACGGTAAATAAAAAAAAAGGGTGGAATGGGTCACGCGACGAGGACGACGCAAGCAGGTCGAGCTGCTAAGCGGAAGTCGAAGCAAGGCGGAACAGGCGATGGAAGAAAGTAAACAAATTTCTTGTCGGCGGTCGGCGAGTAACGGAGAGTGTTAATTTTCGGAATGAAAACGAGACATCCATCTTTCGCGAAATGCTTGCCACTCGACGCTTCAATTCCCGGCCCATTCTCTCGCTCAACGCATTAGAGTAATGAATTAATTTCCATCCGAGTCCTCTCCTCCTTCTCCCTTCTCTCGTCAGTGCTTCCTTCTACATCTCACAGACCGGTCTTTTACCACTCGTTTAGCTCGCAACGATTCACCCCCTATTTTCTCCCTTTCTCCCTTGCGCCCCCCCCCCCGCCTCACCACGCTATTCTTTCACACTTTACATTCCAGATTTAAAGTCTATCTTCTTAATTATAACGGAGCGACAATGCACTCTCCCCACTGTTGTAGCTTCCTTTCTTGACGCTTCCATTCTCCTCGGACGGCTAACGCTTTATTCGAATAATAACCGACGAATAAAACCAACGTATAGCAATTTGCTCGAGACGAGTAAATTACATTTTTATTCGTGCATCGTGTAACGGCTAACGGATAGATACTCGTTCATGTTTAACGAATCGTTGCGATTTTCGAGTCGGGGAGTCGGTGAAATCTGTATCGCGACTCGAGCTACCCTCTTTGTCGTCGCGTCTTCAACCCCGTGCATCGTGTTATAGTCGTACGTTTGTCGATGGGTGGCTCTCTATCTCGACCCCTTTCCTCATTGCCTCAGCGGCTCCTTGTTCTTTGGCGATGTTCGCAAGGCGCACGGCGGCGCTCGTTAACGTATTCATGGGTTTATGGGACAATTAACCCTTTGAGGGACAGTATAATTACAGAAGCGATTAAACATCTTAACGTATAAACACGCCGAGCCCTGGCGACGTATACGTGTACGAAACTCGACGTGGCAGCAACCCGGGTAGGCAGCCAGAGCGTTACCAATTAACATACTAATGACACGAGGCGCTTTTCGAGAGTCACTGTAACCGGTTGGCCTGCAAAGCTTCTTGTTCGCGTACACGCAAACACACACACACATTCATGGATCCTACCTACACTGTCGTTCCTAAGTATTTGCCCACCCTGCATAGATACGGTATCTACCGTGTTGAAGCAATAGAACAGAAATTTTTGGGCTTACGCGGGCATCGAATTTGTGGCTTCCGCTGAATGTGACAGAAATTTTTTAGCAAGTGCACGAAATCCTGAGAATATAGTATATAAGAAAATGACTGAATTTAATCGTCGAGTCCGTTTGGACCACACTCGACCTGTGCAATTTTTCTGCGACCACGCGTTTAGGAAGTTAGGATCTTATTTCTAAAAAGTGTTGATACTTGAACGACTGCTGAAATGCCGAACGGGCAAACAGTTGCGAGCGGTAGCGTACACGAAACGCGCGAGCTCGTTTGAAGCCGCTGCGCCTTGGTGCTTCGGCTTAACAATTATTTGCGATTAGGGATCACGCGATCGAGACGTTTCCACGACGTTCGTTAAAATAATTGAACTTCCTCCGCCGTTCCGTCTGCTCCGTTGTCTCGTCGATAACGAAGCAGGGTTCGAGAAATACTCTCTCGGTTTCGCGTCCGAGCGATTAACGGGATCGGTTAACTCGACGGCACGAAAACGCCACGTTAACGTTCCTCGATGGAACGAATATAATCGCCGCAAGTCGCGGAATTGTTTTTGCGCGGTGCTCGTTCAGCCAGCGGAGAGATTTTTAATAGTTTTTTAAAGACGAGAAAAGGAACTCGTTTCCCTTGATTGGATTGAAACGTATCTCGCGAAAGCTACCCGTAACGACTTTCCTAATTACGCCGTCCATTAATTTTAATTGACCCGGTTTTTCTTTCCGAAACACGGATACTTTCCAACGGTATTCGATTAAAACCTCGTCGAAGGGATCTTTTAGCCTGGTCGCGGAACGTATTCGGGTCGGGGATGAGAAATTTCTGATCGAACGGCTCCGAAAACGTTTCCGTTCGATCGCAGCCAATGTTAAACTCCTAATGCGATGCACGGCGGTTAACGATACGGTTCGACGGTCCGTCATTTTGTTTGCCCCGGACGAATTTGGTTATCGCGTAATCTCAGCCGGGCCGAAATGATCGGCCTGTAAAATCATGGAAAATCTAGCCGGACAATACCGCTTACCAGTGTCATTGTGAAACCTTTATCGCGGCCTGCGACACGGAGCACGCGCACACCGAAAATCACCGACCGACAATCGTCGAATCGCGAGAGCGTATACCAAAATGCTTTTGATTTAATTAGCTAATTATAATGTTCATTTAATTAATATAATTGGATCGGTTAGCGAGTGTGGGTGCAGCTTGCACCGCCCTGATGGCGGTGACTATTTTGCCGCGTTGCATTTAATAACGCCCATTAACGAACATTTACATTAGCAGTAATTATCGCGGTCTCCGCGCAACGACCAGCCGATCGGGATATTTTCCCTCGTGACGAGGTAATCGCTGTTCCACCCAATTAACAGCTATCATCGAACGAAACGCTTTTGAAACGAACGGAAAAATTGTTTGGTCAACGGGGACATCGTGTTTCGCTGTGAACGTACTCAATTTTTGTCGATTTTGGAATCGAGAGTATAATTGGTCGCCGGAAGCGACCCTTATCCTGTTCGTTAAACTATTCGTAGAGTCCCGGGGCTGAAATGGTGTAGCACCGTCTAGTTGTAGAGGTCCTGGTTCCTCCGCGTAGCAACAGCTTTGGCATGAATCGCGATCGACGGAACTCGGCAGGCACCTGGTAGCCCAAGACCTCGGTCGCAAGCCCGATTGATAAAGATGACTGGCGCACAAAACGCGGCTGTACGTGTATGCACTGGTGGCGGAGAATGTACACGCGACACGCGCCCAAGAGTCAACCGGGCATGCGCACGGCCACGCGTGACGTGCCGAGTGACGTCGCAGTATGGAGCGAGGAGCGGTGGCCGAACGACGAGAAGCGAGGAGACGTCGCGACGCGTCGGGCGAGTGCGTCGTGCAAAGTCTAGCCGAGACCGAGAGTGCGCCGAGTGGTTGGCGGTCCCGCGTCGCGTACCCTCGCGTACCGTCGCGATTTCTCTCCATTCCGAAGTGAGCTGCCGTTGCGGACTAACCGGCGGTGAGTCCTCCGGTCTCGTTGCCTCCTCGTCGGTGCTGAATCCCCGCAGGTGATACCGCGCACCGCCGATAACGCGCAACGGTGCCATCGATACGCGATACATCAACCACCGGTGTATACAGGACGCGTACTCGCTAATGAATTGAATCGAATTATTTTGCTCCCGCGGCATCAGACCGCACGCGACTCCCGCGGCACGCGTACATTCGATCGATCGATATCGCGCGACAAGTGACTTGGAGTGCTGGATATCGAGAACCTCTCTCCTTTTCTTCTTTTCTTCCTGGCTCGTGCTTTCCTCGCAATCTTCTTTCTCCCTTCTTATCGCTCGGTCTCTCCTTCGAGAGAGGCTTCTTTCGATTTATCGAGTGTGTTTGATGAGTGTCGTCGGAAGATACTTGTATCCATCCCGTCAAAGGATCGAGGGAACTACCTATTCACCGCCGTTACCAGAAGAGTTTTAAGGATTTCCAGAGACAGTCTGCGGTTCTTCTATCGGTGAGTAAATTTTGTTCAAGTGTATCCCGTCCCGCGATTCAGTGCGCTTAAACGATTCTTCCCGCGAGTCGAACGGGTTGAACCGATTTACGAAACCGGTTGGTATCGTGAGATCTTACTCGCGCGCCAAGTCCGTGCTCTCCGGCACGTTTCAATTAACGATGAAACGCGCGCGACTCGTTCGCAGGAACCGCGCAATCTACGAAAACAACCTTAACGCTGCATGCAAACGATGCCGCTGGTCGACGCGTTGTTTACGTCTCGCAGGTAACGCGATGCAAACCGAGCGCGGGATGATCTTGTTTCCAAAACGTCGAATCAATTATCGGTTTATCGTTTTCGCGACCGAGTCGCGACCGAGTCTCGAGCGTGCTTACTTTTCGACTCTTCTCTGTCGCGCTCTTATTTTCCCTTTCTCGGCTTGGTTCGTTCTTTCTTCGCGAGCGGACACGTCGTTAACTCGAAGCAGAACGGATCGGCGGAACCGCGGATTTTCGACTAGGCGTTTCGCGATACACGTAAATCGGTTAGAGAGTTCCGGTTGTAAACGACACGTTCGCCGTATTACACAATAGAACATCACCGTCGTCCTTTTGAATCCGGCCTCGGTATAAATCGAGCATTATCGGACAATCCGTGGCATTCAGCGTTCGAATGAAATACACGCCGCGGTGTACATTTACGTTTCAATGGCCGAATGAAATTTCCGTGCTGCGTCTAGCTGGCAAGAAGGCGTTGTTTGCGAGAGAACCGCGCGGCGGGCCTCGCAACACTCGCCACCCACCCGCCGAGGCATTAATTGGGTGGAGCTTTAATTGTCTTAGCACGACCGACTGCCGCGCCGATTCCGTCCAAGTTGGAACGAGAACGTTGCCGAGTAAGTTGCGTTAACGGTCGCCGATCGACGACCAATTTTTTCGACGTTGTGCGTATTCTTTTTATAATTAGAATTTCCTCTCGATATCGGAGTCTCGATCGAGCACAGCAAAAGGGAAACGGTAGTTGAGTGGACGTTTACTTTTTATTCGTTACTTGAAATTGTACGTAGATACGTAGGAATGTTGCTCGTCTCCATTTGCGATCTACTCCGGTTATTATTCCAAGAGTTTGATCTCGACGCGATAGGAAAGGCTACGTAGCCGAAAGTGGACGTCAACCGCCTCCTCTTGGGGGATCGTTTCGATTGCGAGTGCTTCTTCTTCTCGGAGGAGATCCCTCCCGTTCCATCGTTTTCCCTCTCTTCTTTCAACTTTTCCATACCCATAACGTTTTCCGTGAGCCCCTCGAAACGCGGAGACGGCCAACCCCTAAATGAAATCCTGGAATTAAAGCCGTATATTAACCTCGCGGCGTCCCCTAAATTAAAAAACAACATTTTTACGATGGCAGGGGTGGGAAAGATGGCACATCACGGGGTCGCCGAAGAACGGAAATCGGTTCGCGGCCCCGCGAATATTCTCTCTTCCAACGTTCCCCGATCCTATCGTGACCTAACGTAGTCGGTTGTTCCACATAGTTGCCCTATCCTTCGCGCCGACAAGGTTACCGAACTCTTCGACCGCTATTCTATCGTCCGTAAATTGCGTTTTTAAATTCGTCGGGCGTCGAGGCACGTGGCGTGCCGGGACGAGCTTCCGTAACCTGCGTGCGCGTCCGCAGAGTTTGGAAACGCGGCCTCGGGACATTGGAAGTTCACCTTGGGTCTTTGCTCCGCGAACGTATAATTATTGGAGCCGAGCGATCGACCGGATCGTTTCGCGAAGTACCTTTGGCCTTGAGTTCGTTAAAAAAAAAAAAAAAATAGGGGGGAGGAAAAAGGATGTATTTCTTTCAAAAGAAATTGAACGTTAACGGAGACTAAGACGGGGTGGGATGCCGAGGGAGAGGGCAGAAGAAGAGCGTACAGCGTCGAGATTACCATGGAAATCCAGATCGGTCGCTTTGCATACTTTGGAAATACGTCCACGGAATCGGGTAAGGGTGTATAATGGAAGTTGAAATTGGTTGAGCCTGTCCCGTCTGGCCGAGCTATACCCGTATACGAGGTATCGAGGGAAACGCATTCCTTGCCGAAATTGCTTCGCACTCGATTCAACGGAAAACACACGCGAGGTTTCCAGTTCGAGGTTACGTTTTCGCGCGTCAAAAAATATACGCGACCGGGACGTAGACAGACAATCCCTCTACCGACTAACACACGCACAAGCTCGTACGTGCATACACACATACTCATACACCGTACGATGACACGCGTGCAGGAACCCCCCCCGTGCGCGCGCGCGCGAACCTACCCTTCTTCTCGGTTTCTCGGCGTAACTTCCTCTGTCTCGCACTCGTAAAGCGTTGATTAAAACCCACCCGGCAATGCGGAGAGACAGAGATCGTGGGAGGGAGAAACAGGGGGTTACGAAGGAGCGAAAGGGAAAGCTAGACGTCGAGTTCGGGGGTAGAGGAAGTTTGGGTGGTCTGGCGTGTGTACGCGTAAGTGGATGCGTGGAGACGTTGTGTGGGTGCGTGTATACGGTTGTACAAGGGGCTGCGCGTGTGCTCGAACGCAGGCGCATGAACGCGAATCGAGCCTCCGTGTACGCGTGTACGTGTGTATGCGTGTACGTGTGTACGCGTGTACGTGTGTCTGCGTGCGCGCGTGTGCGGGTCCGACGATGGTGAGCAGAAACGAGAGAAGAGGGAAAACTAGGAGACCAGGAGGCGAAGAAGGAGAAGAGGCACGGGGCGAAGGTGGTGGGTATATACGCGGAAGAGGGTGAGAGAGGTTCGTCGAGGGTAGGCAGGGGTGGTCCAAGGCGTTGCTTGCTTAATTACTAAAAGCTAATCAATTCCGGAGGAAGTAAAGTTTAAATTGCAAACTAAAGTATAGCTAGCTCCCGGACGTAACGCTGCAAAGCGATATTACCGCTCGCTGCATTCTGCAATTAGCCCGTGGTAAATCATTGAAAACAAATTATGGGCGGAAACCGTGGACGGTTAAGCTCCCGCGCGACTCCTCTATCTAGAAAAATATTCGCCTCCGGTGTACCGGGATTGGAATTCTGCCCGGCAATACGGCCTCGAGTTCTTTCGCTCGCGTTAATAAGCCCAATTAATCTCGCTCGGCCGCGATTTTTCATGGTTCTTTTTGCCCCGGCCGACGTGGCGCGGCACGGCGCAGCAGAGCCACAACCCGCACTGCATCGCGTCGCCTCGCGTCGCCCAGACTACGTCGAATCGCGGCTCGATTAAACAAAAATTCTGCTCGACGATCGCTCGTGCGTTAACGATCCCAACGATTTCTTGCGAAAGCTATATTTCCTTCTCCTTCTTATAGGCCTCGACAGAGGAATGCCCAAAAATTTAATAAAAATTAACCCTAGCACGCTACTTCTGTCCTTAATTACCGATCGCCCTCCGAATCGGTAGTGAAAACGTGCGACGGGGGTGGGCTCAAACAGGATAGGAGAGAAAGTGTCGGCGTGTCGTATAGGAAGCGAACGAGAAGGAGAACGAAACGAGGTATACAGTACTGAAAACAAGCAATAAAATCAATGTCGTTTCCGGCGATTCAATTCGCAAGACACATCGCACAATTTCACATACAATTTTACGGCAGAATGGCCACGACTCCTATTTACTTCACGGCCGGTTCCTATACCCTCCCTCTATAACCGTTTACCCTCGTGCCCTCTCCCCGCTCTTTTTCGCTCCTTGGAACGCTCATTTTCTTTATCTTAAATCCTTGGGCAAGGGTGGCCGCGCCGAGCGAGATCGACCGCGACGGGTCGAGATTCCTTGAAGCAAATCGGGCCCTATTAATAGCGCAAGAACGAACTTGAACGAAAAGAAACACCGTATCGATCGTGCGCAATCGATTTCGATGTTACGATATGCTAATCGAACCTCCCTGCGCCGCCACGGCTTCACGATCACAGCTTGGGTAAACTAATTATTCGATGGTATGTTTTACTTATTTCGATAAATATTTTTTAAATAGACGACGTAAAGACAGATTGCATTGCAGTAGCAAGAGAAAATGTAACTTGTAATAGGTTGAAACCAGTTGAAACGGTTGATACCATATGGCCGTCGCTGCTCGCAAACGTCGGAATCAGTAGAAACGGCCAGCAATGGACAGACGCGTCAGACAAGTCCTCGGCGCGCGTACCTTAAGATATCTTAAATTCGATACTCTCGCGACCAAATCTTGGTACGAAAAAATGATATTCAACATATTCATTCCTATCAGTATAATGTACAAATTTTCGTTTATGTCCAACTAAAATTTTCGATCGACTCGTTAACGAAATAGATAAACCGATAAAGCGAGCGTGCAGCTGCGCGTAAATTATCGCCGCCTCTCCTATGCCCCGCGTTCCCGGCTTTAATTTCCTATTATTCAATCGATCGAATCATGACGGATCGATGATCCGTCGATCATCGCGACATTTGTCAGTCGCATATTACTTACCCTCGAATCGCGCGCAATACCCGATTACAAGCTCGATCGCAGATGCTGTTTGCAATTAATCCCGAATCAGCCGCGGGCGTACGAGCGCGTGTAATAAGTTTGAAAGTAAATTCCTATAATTAATTGCATAACGAGGTCGGCGTTGCAACAAGCGATACACCAAGCGAACTGGATCCACGCGCTTAACGAGCGAACAAGCCCAGCGAGGAGATACGGAGCGGGCATCGATGTAAGGAAATATTTAAACGCGACATAATGAGCGGTCTAATTAGAGCTCGAGTCGCGATAATGGCGCGACGCGGATGTGTTTAGCTTCGTTCCTAATGGACCTACTAATGACTCCGTAATACGTGTTTATAACCTTTCTTCTTCTACCCTTAATCTGCGGCCACGATATCCCTCTTTCGAACTTAGAAAGCCACTTCCACGATGGATATCGCTGTCGTGCAACGTCTATCGACTGTCGTTGGTTCCTTTTCCCTCTCGCGACTCTTTCTCAGCCAGGAATAAACCCAAACCCTCCTGAAATCACGCGCTG